CGTTAAAGTCTTGAAAATTTCAAGTAGATCTAGAAAACTTCCATATATAGATGTATTATCAATAATCGTTAGACGGAGTCGTGTTTAATTATCGGAATGTCATCCCGTTCTTCTTTACTTGCTATTTTAAGCCTAGGGTACTACAAAGCAAATGGAAATGAATATGAAAAAAATACACAGAAAACCAAATCTAGCTCTCAACATGTCCTCCTTCTTTCTCAATCGTGTTATTCCTTTTTCAAATAATGGAATGTGTAACCGCTTCGGATAAAGTTTTCAGCTGCTTTCTTTGCTATACATGTGTTATTACCTGAAACTTATTCTCACTGGAGAACTTTTTCATAGATAAAATTAAATGATAATCTGTATGTTCGGCTATTTAATTGATAGCAGTTCGGAATTTGAAATCTGAAAGTCGTGTTTGAATTCCAGTCTATTTTGTTCGTTTCATTTTTGTGTAACTACGCTTGAGAATGAATCCATCAGTAAACCCTCACACACCTACAACCATGGATAAATAACACGACAACCTTGGGAGTCTGTCTATATTTCTGAGATGAGGTATTATGTACAGTATTTACATTATTCGGACTATTGTCCTCATCTTTGTCGCCATATTTATCACAACGTTTCGGCCGTTGTACGCTCCGGCCTTCTTCAGGTGGTTGGAATTTTGAACTGAACCCTTTATTTCGATCACTGGGGTAGACTGTTCTAGTTCCACGTGCCATGTTTGATGGATGTCAGTTATCAGTTATCTCCTGCTAATTTTCCCTCTGAAATTCTCCACTGCCTTAATCGGGTACTGAACTCACACTCTTTGGGTCCTGTCACTAGATCTAACCAACGCCTTTATCCACTGTGACATGTGTTCTTGAAACCCATGAGTTCAATACCCGATTAAGGCAGTGGAGAACTTTCAGAAGGAAAAATTAGCAGGAGATAACTGATAACTAGAATGGAATAGAACAGTTCACCCCAGTGATCGAAATAAAGGGTTTAGTTCGAAATTCCAACCACCTAAAGAAGGCCGGAGCGTACAACGGCCGAAACATTGTGATAAATATGTCGACAAAGATGAGGACAATAGTCCGAATAATGTAAATACTGTACGACAACCTTGGTTATCTTGTTCTCCGTCAGGCTATCTTGCCCAAAACTCACGATTACTCTAGCGGCTGCAATAAACGTGGTTTCCCAACGACCCTAATTAAGTGACACATGATCGCGATATAATCGTGCCAATTAAAGACTCCAGTAGAACATGTTCCATCCACTCACTCCCGTCAATTAAATCGAGAGACATGATGGGCACCAATCTTTTGGCAGTTTTACTGAGAATATAAGATTGTTAGGCATTCTTCTGAAACACCGCGGCAGCAGGTCTGCCAAAGTGGGACCTGTCATTAAAATCCAATTATAATTTCACTTTCGGATTGCCATTCTTTCTAAGAAACCAGCTCTTTGACTACGTCGATCACAGACATTCCATAAACAACCAGTGTAGTACTTTCTCCTTCCAAAGGACATCCGATGACAACATATATGTCCAGAGGAGTGGCTGTGTGAAAGAGGGTTATGAGTAATAAAAGAAAGGTATATCAAAATATCCTTAGCAATTAGAAGAATTTAGAAAACACTATTGTATTCGTATTGTAATTTCCAGTTTAAAATATGAATATAATAGCGTTTTCTAATTTTTTCTAGTTGATAAGGACATTTTGTTTGTTGTTAATAGTTACTTTGTTTTCAATAAATCTACTTCGTTTTTGCCCAGAAAAAAATTGACGAAACGCGTCGATTAAGAATACAATTTTCCTATTGTCTTTAACCCATACACATATACCTACATTCAATATATATATACACGCACACACACACACACACACACACACACACACATATATATATATATATATATATATATATATATATGTTGAGAAAGCTTGAAACCTAAGTTCACAAGCGACTCTCCCTGCAACCATATATGTTAGCTCTGTCACGGATATGGAGCACTTTCCACTAAAAACCTCACACATACACACAAACACACACACATGCGGTGGAGTAATTGATAAGATCTTGGATTGAGGAATCGGAGAGCCGAGTTCGATTCCTGTCGAATCCATTAAATACCTTTCTCCCACCAGCTCTGGGTAAATAGCAGGACAGACTGGGTTCTATAACCTTGGTTGGCAACTGGTCTAGGAGAAGGAAAACTCTGAATTCAAAACCTGCAGAGGGTCGTTTGGGGACTTTGTGGCACGTAGTGCACCAGGTCTCTGTAATCGGCCCTTCAAAAAGTGTGGATGGTCCTGCACGAAACCTTCACCACTATAATCAAATTTCATGTGTTGGTGTCGGGCTAACGATTCCTAGGAACTTATCTGCTTGACCCTAATACGTCGAATTTGACGGAAGAGTCAGGAATATATAGGAAGTGGAAAAATGATGCTATTCTTTTTTCAAATATTTACTCAAGTAAGTGATTCAGTCTAAAAATGCCTGCATAGTTTTTCTTTTTCTTTTCATTGGCCTTAAGATTTTGCACAGCAGTGTATGTGAAGTTGAAACAAAATGTTCTATTTTTGAGGTGAAAATGTTCATCAAATATCGTTAAAGTATTGCTCGAGGACGCATTCTCTGTCTGCCTTTTATGTCTCTGTGGCACGCTCTCTCCACACACACACACACACATATATATATATATATATATATATATATATATATATATATATATATATATATATTGTTAATGATTTCCGTCGAAGTTATTTACCATAGCTCCAGTGAAATTAACTCAGCCTATATTGGGGAAAAAAAAAGCCCGAATATGGTTTTTTGCAAGTAACTTATTATGCCTTGTGCTATTTTATTGTTTGCAAAAGAAATTGTTTAATTTTTGATGATTTTAGTTCTTCTTTCTTTTTTTAATGTCCTTTATTTTCGTTTCGTCCATTGCTATTAATGGTTAGATATTTTAATACGGGGCCTTCCCCAAGTGAGAATTTGACGCCACAAGAGCGAATTAAGTGTTATCCTGTTTATTTATTTGGTAGTAAACATCAGAACTTATACTGTCATAAGTTAATATTACTTCTTTCGTATTTTATATTATTTTTAACAGGTAAATAAGAGTGGATATTCGGTCCACATTCCTTGCATGTCTATTGTAAATCCCTTGTTACCTGTTCAAAATATGGTTTACCCGTTTTTTTATTTCTTTCTTCTACCAGAGTCATAATGATTTAACTGTATAATCTTTTCGGAGATCAGACTAACCAGTGGTTGTGACTTCCTATTTTGAGCTATATGTTTGTTAATTTACAAGCTGCTTCTTCCGACTAGTCTTTGAGAGCCTGAAATCCTACACAGGCTACTCTGATAAACTCTTTCATGCGCTTCAGTTGCATAATATCATGTTATTTGTAGTTCCATGACGCGCAAGTTCAGGTGTCACTGCACGTATTTCCGGTGGGTAACAGTGAGGACACATTTCTCAGCCACGCTCTGGGTAGTTTGTCAATGAAAGATAGATAGTGATAATTATTGAGGCCTTTTCTATTTCTCCCCAAAAGAAATCTCATGAAAATCACAACAAAATAAATACAACGAAACCAGAAATAAAAACACATCTACCCTACTGAACCATTCTTTCTCTAATATTCGTGCCATCCGTTCCAGCTTCTGCAGCGTTGAATCTTTTTCTCTTGGAACGGTCGCCAGATATCTTTGCCATTTGTGAAGCAAATTTAAATTCTTTCATTGTTACCAATGAATTCTTGGTTCTAGTGTATCTTCCCCTTTTCAAATAGATTCCAACATTCGCATGGCTTTGGTCTTTACATCCGGGATACTTTTCCGATGTCCAAGGAATTGTCTCTCGTTGCCCCAGACAACTTTTTCATGTGCTTCCGTCTTTCTTTAGGAAACTGCGTTAGCTATCTCTTTTCCCTTTATCAATCCCCTTTTCTTTTCAGTACTGAAATATATTAAACAAATTATCTGACAGTAAAGATAAGGTACTTTCTTTCCATCCATCTGCTAAAATCTTTGTCTTCTGTGATTTTAATACTCACCACAAAACGTGGCTTAAACATTCTAAAGATACCGATGTGGATAGTAACTAGACATTAAAATTGTTCCATTGCTCAATCCCTTACTCCAATCGTGAACTTCCCTGCTTGTTTCGTTAGCAAAACCGAGCAACAGGCTTGTTTGCTTGATGTAATTCTTACCACCTCTCTTCGCTCTTGCCAGGCTTCGTAAAAACTGTCTCTTGTTAACTGGAAAATTAATTTCGAAGCTTTTAGCTTCCATTTTTGAAACATGGTTTGAATTTTGTAGAGAAAAACATATTTTAAATTTAAATATATATATATATATATATATATATATATATATATATATATATATATATATATATACCATTCAACCATGCTTAGAATATTGCTGACACATATGATCCGGTGACCCTGCTATTTACCTTGATCTTCAAAGATCCAAAGAAGAATCAGCAATATTATTAGTCCTGATCTGGCGGCTCGGCTTCAGTCACATTCTCAACGCCGTAAGATTGCCTCTCAGTATCTTTTCTATAAATATTCTACGGATGCCCTCATCGCTAGGGTATCTATAATTTTTGAATTTAACCGAATTATTAAACCGTCGTCGAGATTTCAACAATTAGCCGAAAATTCTATACTAAGTTTATTTTATTTCACGTCACTCTTGTTGAATTCCCTTTCAACTTCATGATTCCAACCAATATTAATTTGCAAAAATTTAGATGCAATGTCAATCGTTATCAACTGATTATTCATTCCTCTTCATTCTCATTAATATTTTTTTCTGTTTTAGAATTCATACGTGAATCAGTTTTAATATTCTGATATTTCTGAAAACTCATCCTCTTTTCCTTGCTTATCTATCTATCTATCTATCTATCTATCTATCTATCTATCTATCTATCTATCTATCTAGTTGACAACTCTGCACAC